TTTGGTTAGTGAACGGCCGTTTACGGCTGAGTATATTTGACCTGGGTAGAAATAACTCATGAGACAATTTCTGTTCAAAAATTTCTGTCGATAGTTTTAATGCTTCAGATCTACCGAATTTTTAAGATAAGTTAATCCTAGGCTAGCTGTAATTTAAATACAGAGGGATAATGTTATGAAGAGATCTGGTTAGACTAAGCAGCAGCTAGCCGTGATTGGCGCTCCGGAGGAGCGCCGACGAGCGACTAGCTGATGCACTGACGTATCTCCAGAAGAGCCGATTCAATGTGTTAGGATTCACTGATAAGAATCAATAGTGGAGGTTCAATGAGTCTGATTAAGCAATATCAAATGCAAAAAGCTGAAAAAACTATGTAAAGTCAAAGATGAAAAAAGTTTTTTGTGTTTGGACACAATGGCTGAATAATTCATCAGACAAAAAACATTACTGAAAGAATTTATATTTGCTGTATTGGCAGTTGACATGAATGAAATACAAGAGTGTTTCTTTTTGTATATGCTTTTCTTCGTATTAATTCAAGCATCTGCGTGTATAATGATATTTTCAAGCTACCTGCCTAGTAAACAATATCGTTAGTTCACACGTTAGTAAGTGAATAGATTTATAGTAGAAATTTTAAAGAGTATAGCACGATTTTATAAAACTGTCGCGAAAGTGTATTGTTTCATTGCCTCTCAGCAGACTGAATATAAGCTCTTTTTGTTCGGGTACATGTGTACCGTGTCGCCATAGTTTAGTTCTCTAGATTTTAGTTGATATCAATGTGAGGGTGTCAGTCTGATTGCATGTGTTCCTGACAAAAATGGTCACCCGTATCCATATACTATTGTACACAACGAGATTGACGCTAATACCAGCATACACGCATACACCCACGCTTCTGGAAGATTGGATAGTAGCTATGTTGAAGACTGTAAAGTACTATAAAGTATCAGACGATCGAATATACAGTCGAGGGTCAAGCGAGTCACACGGACGAGCGTTACTTGTATTTAAAGTGATGCTTCATTGTCTTGTTTGAAACATTTTTAGTATTGCGCAGAAACTTATGAAAATGAATTTCATATTCTCATGTTGACTATGAACTCCGCATAGTGAAGGTAACAAGAAGATTAGTAAATGTAAAGCAATTAGGGTAGATATTTTATGTTCCCTAGACTGAACGGCTAGGGTCTAGAAACGGAAATTCACCTGTGTCTGTCTGTCTGTCTGTCTGTAACACTTGGTACAAATGACCATTTTTGTGGTACAAAGTATCATAGTGATGGTACAAGTGACCATTTTCGTGGTACAAAGTATCATAGTCATGGTACAAGTGACCATTTCCTTGGTACAAAGTATCATAGTGATGGTACAAGTGACCATTTTCGTGGTACAAAAGTACCACTTTGGTGGTACAGGCGACCATTTATTTGACACAATTTGCTATTTTCATTATACGGATGACAGTTTCTATGACTCAATTCAGCATTTCCACGGCACAATCAACCATTTCTATGGCACAGTTGACCATTCTTGTGGCTCAAATGAGCATGTCTGTGTTACAATTGGCCATGTCGGTATTAGAAATGGCCATAACTTTGACATGAATCACCATGTTAGTCGTTATAATTAACTAAAGCATAAACTTTATCATATACATTAGCATCTTTCAATATTTGTTGTGAACTATTTGAATATATCTATAGTATGTAATACAGAAAATGTTACACATATTAATAATTTCTCCTAAGCTCATCATTATACGGAATTCATTTTTATTTAAAAATATAAGGACATCTTTGTCATCATTCCGTCAGTCTAGGGCCAAGTGAATCGACATTCAATGTCGATGAATGTTACTTGTGATGTAGTAAGACTGGAATTCATAAGAATGCTATACTAATTCTCACGGTCTCTATTCTCGTAAATGCTTGTCTCATAGTTCACTCGAGTTGTTGAGAAATTTGCTTCATGAGATCTTTGTTTGGTAATTATTTGATGCATTTTAGATTTATCGCTGTTCAAATTTTCTGAAACAATAAATGACATATTTTCCTTAGATGAATATGACTGATGTGAACAAGTATTATTGTAAGCAGCAGAGATCTAATTATATTTTTGGATCGGTACTCTTCCGATTGAGACTCATTCAATAATCAGTATACAAGTGAGACTCATTCTATGCGTTCGCTGACCGTTTTGTAACACAGACAAGGAGGTTGCTGCACCTACACGAGGTAATATTCGTCTAAATTCCAGAGTCTATGGGCTTTTTTATTTCAAACTGAATTCTAAAATCAAAAAAACCACACCAATTTCTTCCGAATCAAACTTTTCTCGCTTGATACTACGTAGTCTCACTAAAAACCCTTAGTCCCCCCTAGTCCTGCAAAGTCCCCCTTAGTTCCCCCCACAAAAAGCTTAGTCCCCTGTGCAGGGGACTAAAGCCTATAGTACACAAAACCACAAGCACACCCTCACCCTCACTCGCGCGCCCACACCCGCACCATGGGTGTGGGTGTGTGTGTGGGTCCCAGACCAACACCCACACCCTCAGTCACCCCCCCCTCACTCCTAGACTCACGTTTCAGTTTGAAATCAAGTATTATTTTTATTTGATAAATTCAGACTGAAATTAAATAGCCCATTGTATGAAATTCCATCACGATTACTTGATTGATGATGTTTCTTGTTATCGCTCACATCATAGTTATTCTCGGTTTGTAGCCCTTTATAGCTGTGTGTTTATTTCGTATAGTAACACACATAAGCGTATGGCAAAAGTTATCTCGTAATATCCTGATCAGAGATGGACAGCTGCGACTCCGAAGTGCCCTCTCCATGGAGCTAGCTTTGCTTCAGGAGCAGAGCCATGCGATGCGTTAGAATGGTGAAGCTGGAACAGAGTCGGAGTGGATTCTGTTTAACTGACAGCAGAGTCGGAACTGAGCGCCTCGTGAATAAAATAGAGCTGGAGCAGAGTCAGAGCGACCTTTTTTCTAGCTCCAAAAGTATGCTCATTTTGCTTTTACTTCTGTAAACAAAGATGGAAGAATTAGTGAGACAAAAGCTCGTCATCGAGTATTTATTGCAGCGAATATGCCATTGTTACATTTTAATCAATGACAATGCTTGAGGCAATGACTAACCATTCATTTAGTCGGCTGTTATACAGCTTATTTGATTGCGCTATTTTTCGTTTGAAAATATAAGAACGTGACGCTGATGAAGAGAGAAAATGAAATACTATGAGATGCATAAGAAGTAAGCGATTGCAAAACAGGACAAATATCTCATTAAACTGAAAATTGAATGAACAAACTTTTCTATGACAAGACAAACATATAACCGATTGTCATCGTTAACCAAGCAAGATGAAGACTTCAAGGAATAATCTTTTTATCCATACTTGAAGCAGCCTACTAGAAGAGTACTTTGCATCGGCTATCTTCGCTCTAGCTGAAAGGTTGTTTTCTCCGAATTGGTACTCATGTGTCCTCATCACGGTCGACTCCCTAAGAGTCATTGCACGATAGTCACGACCAACCGCGCCCAACTGATATCACGAATTTCAATAAAACTTTGCCTATATGTAGACTCAAGTGATATATGAAAAAGTCTAAAATTTCAGCTTCTAAAACCATTCCCTTCTTCAGATATTGAAATCACAATGGAGGCTCCGTCAGCTAAAAAATGATGATAACCAATGCAGTATCTACTCAGTGTATACTTTGCCCTTTTTTAATCTGAGGGTGTGGGTAGGGATGCACCAATTCCAATTCTTGGTTTGGAATTGACGGAATTGGTACGAATTGGTTGGAATTGGAATTGTACGCATTGGAATTGGAATTGCAGGAATTGGAATTCGTTAGAATTGGGTCAAATCACCTAAAAATCTTATGGAACCCCAGAAATTGGTATGGAATTGGTCTGGAACTGGCTAGACTTGGCTTGAGCTGACTATAATTGGTATGGAGTCCTAAGGATTGTTATGTAATT